AAGTATATATCTACATATATTTTATATGTGTAGGTAAAAGTTACCCTTTACCAAATGTGTAAGTAATATTCTAAAAAATGTGTAGGTATAGTCTGTCTCCCCACACTTCTATTATCTAGACATTTTAAAAAATTATGGGTGGGTAAAAATAAGCTTTACCCACACTTTTTTCACTTCAGAGATTTTTGCCACTATTGGAGTTTTATTTGGTGCCTTAAAGACTCCGTTCATTTTATTGATTCGAGTTTAAAATTTGAGTTTTACTATAGTAAAAAGCTCTCATAAACAGTCACATTTAACCTTTTTACTACAGTAAAAAGCTCTCACATAAATTCACATCTCAACTCGAATTAAAAACTTAAAATCAGTGAACTAAACGAGTCATAAATATATAAATAATCTAGTCACCTGTACATTTGTATATGTAGGTAATAGTTTATTATCCCACACTCTTATTACCCACACATTTAAAAATTTATGTATGGGTAAAAATAACTTTCACCTACACTTTTTTGCCACGTCAGCAATCCATGTGGCAGGATTTTTACCGCCATTACAGTTTTTGGGCGTCAAATACAGGTGCCAATAAATGTATAGGTAATTCTACTCATCTACACATATATGTAGATAATAGTGTATTTTCCCACACTTTTTTTAAGCACACATTTAAAAAACTATCTGTGGATAAGCATAAGCTTCACCCAAACATTTTTGCCACGCCAGCAGCACTTATTCCGGGCATTTTTGTCGCCTTTGTAATTCTTTGGACAGGCGTCAAAAAATGTGTAGGTAATTCTAATCACCCACACATATATGTGTAGGAAAAAGTTTCTTTCCCCGTATTTTTATTACCCAACATTTAAAAATTATATGTGTGGATAAAAATAAGCTTTACCCACACATTTATATCTGTGGATAAAATCCCCTGTTTCTTGTAGTATATGTATGCCTGCTTGCACATGATAGTAAATATATGTATGATAAGTGTTGGTTTCTCAAACCAGATTTTTAAAAAAAATTGTGCGGAAGCGTGATATCGATCGAATCACATAAATTAAAATTTAATGCGATCATTATTTCATGTTAATTTAACTACAAAGATATTAATGAGAAGAATGAGAATTTTACCGTCGCTCGATTATGACGTAAATCTTGAACTCCTCCAACATCGTCTTAAGATCTTAAATTCCAAGAACACTACGGTTCTTTCTCAACGTATCTCCGGATTAACGTGAACTCGAACGTGTGGGCGTTCTAATGGGTTTCTCAACACATGAGATGGATGAATAGGGAAGCCACCTATAGTTATTACTTACTTTTCTCAAAAGTATGTGATGGCACTCAAGAAATTTTCTTTAATTTTTCTTTTGTTCTCCCGTTTTTCCTTTTTCATTTTCTCTGGAAAAAGCCTTTTGTTTCTCTCTGTGCGGCAAAAACTACGAGAACTAATTTCTCTTCTTATTCGTTAATGTGCAGCAGCACATTCCCTTTTTTTTCATGGTGAGGAAACGTGCAACACTTCTCCTTTTTTTTTTTTTTTTGAGGAAACGTGCACCTACACGTTTCCTTTCTTTTATATATATATATATATATATATATATTAAGGAGGGGAGGATGAAAAAAAGAAATGTGGAGAAAAGAAAATTCTCTCTCTCCTGTTACAAAATGACTAAATTCATCCATATTAATTTAAAATAATTT